ACTTGGGTGGCTCAGTCAGTTTAACATCAGACTCTTGATTTCGGCTCAGATCATGATCTCGTGGTTCATGAGTTTGAACCCCTCATCAGGCTCTGTGCTCTCCCCCTTCCTGTCTTCTCTACCCCTCCCCTGCTCACTCTTTCTCAGTAAATAAATTAAAAAATAATATTAAATAAAAATAAGAGGGTATGCAGTTAGTAGATAAATAAATCCTGGCATTCTAATATACAGTATAGTGATTATAGGCAGCAAAACTGTATCATAAACATTAAATTTGCTAAGGTAGTAGATCTTACTTGTTTTCATCTGTAGAAGAAATGATAATTATGTGACATGATAGAGATGTTAGTTAATGCTACCATAGCAGGCATACTGCAATATAAATGTTATCAAATCAGTGTACTGTGTATCTTAAACTTCGGCAATGTTATATATAAATTATATCTTGATAAAATAAAAGGACCAAAACCAAAAATAGGAGGGTAACGGTCAAACCCAAAATTTCACTGTTCTTTTTTTTTTTTTTTTTTTTTAATGTTTGTTTATTTTTGACAGAGAGAGAGAGAGACAGAGCATGAGTGGGGAGGGGCAGAGAGAGAGGGAGACACAGGATCTGAAGCAGGCTCCAGACTCCAGCTGTCAGCACAGAGCCCGATGCAGGGCTTGAATTCACGGACTGCGAGATTATGACCTGAGCCAAAGTTGGTCGCTTAACCAACTGAGCCACCCAGGAGCTTCTTCACTGTTCTTAAAGTAACATAATTCCTGGAAATCTTGGTGAGAGAAGGTGATAGAGTTCAGAGACTACAGGAGCTGAAATAATGCTTTGGGGACTTTGGCATGACCACCCCATCACTGACTGGACTGTTCAACTCCCCACCCGCCCTCCCCATGCTATGGCATAATGGTCTGTAGGATAATGGCCTGTGCATGAGTTCTTCGTGTAAAAATGATAACCTGAAAGAAGCCCTCACATGATTGTCATTAGCCAACTGCCTAGAGTTAATATCAGGAAGTTCTTGAAATTTCTGAATGCAGTGTGTTTGGGAATTTCTTCAGATACCTAGTTGTCTAACTAGAAGGAAAAACTATTTATCTAGATGTAATCTGTACATACAGTATTTTCCTCTGTGTACTGTTAAGTTCAGGATCACATACTGCGCTTGGTTATCAGCTTGCTTTGTGCTTCTTTTGTCTGGGACAGTTCCTCTGCTTTTGCTTTTCACAGCATTGATGTTTTTGAAGAATAGGGCCAGTTACTTGTTTTAGAATGTCTTTTAATTGGAGTTTCTCTGGTGTGTTCTCATGATTACATTTGGGTTTTTTTTTTTATTTGTTTGTTTTGGCTGTTACTGTGTAAGTGATTTCTCCTTCTCAGGGTGTCACTTGGAGGCCCAAACACCTGTTTGCCCTTTATTGGTGATGTTAACCTTGATCATTTGGGTGAGGTGTCTTGTGGTCTCTCCACTGTATATTCTTCTTTCGTTTTGCAACTAATGAGAATTTTGTGGGGGAGATTCTTTAAATAAATATCGTGTGTATTCGGTTTCTCATTGCCACCTCCACCACCCCCCATTTAGCATTCAGTGAGGATTCTTGAATGAAGATGCTTGAATCTTTTTACTATGATGGTTGCAAAAGAATGGTTTTTGTTTTTAACTCCATCATTCTTTATTTACTAGGTCTACTGTATGGAAGAGCCTTTCCTTATCCCCCGTTTATCCATTTATTATCAGTTTCTGTTTATGGGTTTCTGTTTCATTAAATGGATTATAATCTGTTACTGTCATTGCTTTGCTTGAATTATCCCAAATTGGTCCAGAAGCTGGCTCCTTTTAGTGTGTCCTGGCCATTTTGGGAGAGCATGTACTTAACCTTCCAGAACAAGATGTATGTTACAGGCTCATCTTTTACTTCTCTATCCCAACTCTTAATCAGCCAGTTCTTCAGGTAGCTTTGGTTTCTTTTTGGTTGGGAGTAAAATTTAAAAACCAAGATCTGGGTACTATTAAATATTTTAAAAGTCTTAGTTTAGCTTGTCAAGCTGGGACCTGTCTCCAGAAGGCTGTGTGCTTAATAGTACCAGAAGCTTCCATTCATTTATTCTATACCAGGTGCTATGGTAGTGTTTTTATGTGCAATAGATCTTTCGAAGGACTTCTTTGAGGACAAGCTTCCAGATGCCCAGGGTGACCAAACATGGAAGAAGCAGATCTAAACCTGTACCTCTGAGCCCCAGATCTCTGGTCTTAACCACAGTTTCTGAAGATGAGGTGTAGAGTAAACCTGCTAGAGCCTGTTGCCTCTAGGAGTGTCAGATTTCAGGCAGGAAGTTGAGTAGAAGGGATCAGAACAAAAGAGGGAGGCTCTGCTATTAATGGTAGGGGAGGGGAGAGTGGAGGAGGGGACCAGACACTTGTTGAGTGCTTGCTATGTGTCCCACAACAGGGATATTGTGATCGATGACCCCAAGGCACCCCAACATTGCTTTCCTCTTGGACCTGGATGTGTGAGGAAATTCCCACAATTTTGACTGTACTAAGATCTCTCTCCCAAGATGTCATTTCAGTTAGGCACCTGGTTTATGCTACCTGTGTTTCATTGTGGCTGTTTGGGAAAGTTGAGTAAGGTAGGTGGTTCTGCCTGACTTTCACTGAAACCTAGTTCACTCAAGTTGTTGCCTTTGGCTTGTGATGCCAACATAGCTCAGGCTTATTAACAAGCTGTGTGGGTGGGCGAGACTGGGGGGCTTTATAACAGTGCAGCCATTTCTTTGTGGGTGCTGCAGGGGGTGCATGAGAGCAGTAGCCGACCTGGTCATTATTAGGGTTGTCATAGGAGTCAGTTGATGCTGGACCCTTTCCTGCTTCAGCCAGGACAGTTTGTCTTGTTGGTCTTACAGAACACCCTCTGTTGGGGATTTTCAAAGTGGGTTGGGGAGGTTTTGACAAAGGAATGGGTGAGATGTACTGGGATGTGCTGGAGAAGTAGCACAGCCTCCAAAATAGATGTCTTAACTGTCATTTAGATTCATTATTTACTGAGTTTCTAATATATACTAGGTAATAGGGACATCATTTAGACATATTTCTCTCATTTGACTTGTTCCTTAATTATTGGAGGAAGTAAGTGGTGATCTGATGTATGGTTGAAGAGTGTGAGTTTAGAGTTAGATAGACCTGAATTCAGGTCCTGTCCAGGCCACACAGGGGCAGTGTGACCTTAGGCAGGAGAATAGAGTGGGTAAAGGTGTGGCCTCTGGGGACAGACCTGCCTCTGGTGGCTGTGCTGCTTCATCTCTCTAGTGGAGATGATGATGGTATCCATCTTGTAGAATTGTGTGATTTATTTGAGTTATGATGTCAAATTGCCTGGGACACTAATAAGTGCTCCATAAAAGTTGGCTTTGTTGTGTTGTATTTCCCACCCTTTGTGCATGAGGGAACTGAACCTGGAGACTTACCCAGAGTAACATTTCTAACAAACGGCAGGGCCAGTTCTCAAATATAGGTTCTCAGTCCTATTCTGTCTGCTCCAGAGTCATGGGCGTATCTGGTATTTGTGAGCCTGGGTCAGACCCAGGTTTCTCAAGTAGTTTAACCATCCCTGGTGTTCATTTGTGACATCAGAGGTTATGGTATTCTTCAAGGCAAGAACAGGATGGCAAGGATTTAGAACCTGTGTGGGAATTTGTTAAGAAACTGGGGATGTTGAGCCTGGGACAGAAGATTTATGGCAAACTTGAGACCTCTTACCCCTGAGGATGGAACAGGGGCAGTGGGTTGAAGTTCTGTAAACTGTTCCACTGCACAGATTTAGCAGGATGGCCCTAGAGTGTTGTTACTCTTTTTTCACCCTGGATGTTCTTGCAGAGGCTGGGTGGCCAGTTAGCACTTGAAAAGGAATGTAAAGGTGGCAACAAACCAGTCAGAAATCTGGGAGACAGCATCTCTCTTTACACTGTGGGCTTTGACCTATACTGAATAAATTATAATACTCTTCGATCCAAAAGATTCAAAATAAGCTACTTTTTGTGGGAAACATCGTATCTGTTAAGATTGGCACTGGCAGGTTTGTGGCACCCTTCTATGCTAAGCCAGTCTGCCATGTGGTTTCCCCTCTAGGGTCCCTGTCTCTCCATCCCATAGCTTATGCATGTTGGCATATTGATCTTTCCAATGTGCTGCCTTAACCCTGTCCACCCTCCCTCTTTCCACAAACTTGAGTGACCCCCATAGTCTCCATGGTGATGACTCTGTCCCCTGTCCCCTTGCTCTGCTCCAGTTCTCGTGTCCTATGGGTTGGTGCCCAAGTGTTGTGTCTCTCAGTGCAGGCTCTTGCCTCACACCTTCCCCATTATTCTGGACCCTTCATACAGGCATCACCACCTATACTTCTCCATTCCTAGTCACTGAAGCTAAAGAGGCTCTATTTTGCCTTCTTGAATATGCAGTCTGGGAGGGTAAGAGCTGCCTCTGGTGCACACTCATGACCTTCACGGTCCCTTTGCAATCTGTGTGCCGGACAGATGCAAGAGAGGACACAGTTTGGACAGGCAGTTCAGAGCTGTTTAAATTATAGTTTTTTTTTTACCATTGAGAGCCCTTCACATGCTGGCAGGGGAGGCAGTATAGCAGAGTTAGGGCTCTGGAGTCAGGCCAACTGGGTTTGAGTCTGGATCCTTTCATTCTGGCTGTTGGACTTTAGACAAGTGCTTTAGTTTTGTGTGTGTTTTTGGTTTTTTTGTTTTTTTTATCTGTAAAATTGGGAATACTCATACCTATCCTGGAGGTGCCATGAGGATCATATATGTGAAGTTCTTTGCACAGTCTCTCGCACACGTCGTAGGTCCTCCTATTTCCCTGGCTTTGCCTGGCTCCTTCATTTCATGATGTTAGTTTGTGCGTTTCTGGACTTGCCCTCCCACCACTCAAGGCTCCCCCTCTTTGTGTGTCCTTGTTCTCTGCTCATGCTGTTGGCCCTTACTGTTTCCCTTCCAGATGTCCAACATCACAGTCACATACAGAGACGGCCGAGTGGCACAGCTGGAGCAGGTGTACATCCGTGGCAGCAAGATCCGCTTTCTCATCTTGCCTGACATGCTGAAAAATGCACCCATGTTAAAGAGCATGAAAAATAAAAACCAAGGCTCAGGGGCTGGCCGGGGAAAAGCTGCTATTCTGAAGGCCCAAGGTATGTGCTCCTCATGCACTGGTTTTAACATATGTGTTTGTCATGTATCTTTTAGGAAAGGGCCCTGTTAATTGCCTGGGCATAGGGTGGACTTCGACTTCAGCCATGTCTACATCTGTCACCCTGCAGGCTTGGGGCCCACACCTGTGAAGATCTGGGGACCTTATCTCGCCTTCTCTGTCTTGCCTCACCTGATCACATTCTTAAGGCTTATTCAAAATCCAAAGTGCCTCCTTAGAAAAAGGAAGGGGACTCCTATCGTAAATGAGAGAGTAGATAAGTCTCCTATAATGCATTTCTGGGAGGCTCTTTGTTTCCAGGAATTCTGTCCAAAGAGTTTGGGGGAAGCTTGCTCTTACCTAGTTTGCTGAGCAGGGGCACTGTAGTTTGGATTAGCTGACTCCTGAAGCAGTGGGGCAACAGTTCCCAGAGAAGCTGGGGGTGTTTGTTGACACCCAGTATGCATGGGGGGGGAATGCTGATGATAGGGATCCATTTTCATATAAGAAATAAGCAGTTTTAAGCCATCTTTACCCATTAAAGGGACTGAACTTCTGTTTTCGAATATTCTTGTATTTGAAAATAAATCCTTCCTTTCAGCATGTCCCCAGTGACCCAGTGACCTTCCTTAGTCTGGCCTTTCTTTTAGGTCAGCCTAGTCAGAGGTTTTATGTTTGGGTCCATGAAAAGCTCTGCCATGATGATTATCTAGAAAGCAAGTGTATTCGTTAGAAAATGTATGTCAGTAGAAAGATTTATAGTGCAGGAAAGTCACTGGATTCTCCATCAGTGCTTTTGTTGCTATGCATATTTTATATATGAGGTAGCTTTTGAGTTTAAAGATGTAAGAGTAATCCTTTAAAATGTCCTTCAAAAAAGCTGATCAGAGAATCTCCTTGCCCTTCCTAGATAAGTGGCATTTGTGGGCAGGTAGAACCAGAAGCTCTGGACCTTTGTCCTGGTGAAGGAATGGTTTTCAGGAATACTGGCTTTCTTACTAGAACTGCTTTTCTCTCTGCTTTCTCAGGGAGGGCTGCCCTCATTGTCACTGTATAACTACACCACCTTCTCTAACAAAAGGTTCAGCCCAGTAGTTGTGCACTAGAAGACACGTGGCAGTGAGTTTACCCAGGCCCGTTGGCCTCTGCCTGGGCCATCTGTGCTGCCAGTCCCTTGCTGTAGTCCCATCAGCTTGTCGCTGGGTTCTTGGGTGACTTCCTTCCCTCTTCAGGTCGGCTCCAGGCTCTATAAGTGGGAAGAGGGGTGAGACTCCGATTAGCAGCCATCAGACTATTTTCACTTGTCCTTCAAAGCCACTGGTTCTCTCCTAGAACTCTTGGGGTCGTAGACAACAGCAGCTTATTATGTCTATGTCCTTCGTATGGGGTGTGGTTTTACTTTGCTATTACGAAACGTTTTATATTTCAGGGTAGCTCAAAAAAAAAAAGAAACCTGCCACCCAGATTTAACAGGTGTTTAGCATTTGTTTCAGAATTTTAAGTGTGAATTAAATTCATCTGTCATGTGTTATTACCTCACCATAGGCCAGCTCTGGGAATTCATCTTTTCTTTGGTTCTCACACTTGCTTCCCAAACCACCTTAGCTTTCAACACACTGACTCCTGGCCTCTTGTTGAGAGCAGGACTGGATTGGAAGGCAGGAGTTTGGTGCCCCCTCCAGCTCTGATGCCAGGTGTCAGTCCCCAGGCAATGGGGAAATGACATGTGGTAGGCATGGTGTTGGACTAGGTGGCCTTCCAGGCCCTTTCCTGTGCCAGTGTCCAAGGAAGGGCTCTGGCTGTTCTGTGGCATGAGCACTCACTGACTTCACTGACCTGGCCTTTTCCTTTCTTTCCTACCTTTCAGTGGCTGCAAGAGGAAGAGGACGTGGAATGGGGCGTGGAAACATCTTCCAGAAGCGAAGATAAATTTATCTGTTGAACTGAACTTTGTCGTTATTTTTTCCCTTAGGTTGTCTGGGTTCAGGGGGGTGTATGCTTATGTATATGTTCTAGGTTTCCTTTTGACATCTTTCTCTTTAGAGCAGAGGAAATGTTAAACTAAATAAATATGGTGGTGATTGTTTTGTTTTCTTTTTGAAAAAAGGAGGACTGTGTGTTCATTTTGGAGTTTGTGTTCTGTTTGCTTTGGCAGCAAGTTAAATTTTGACACCCTGGAAGGTGTCCTGGGAGAATGCTAGTACTTTGAAATCACATAGTTATTGATAAGAGTTTAAGCTGCTGTTCCAGGCCAGTTGCCGGTTAAACCCATGGAAAAACTCCAAGAACACACAGACGGTCTTGTTGGTCTTTAGACACAGGCACTTGTACGGTGCTTTGTTCAGGTAACCTTTGTGGAGATGTCATCAGCTCAGCTTGAACAACACAGCATGGGTGGTCCTGGGCAAAGAAAAAGTCCACCATTCTGATCTTTGTAGGCTGGAAACCCTAGTGGTTCAGCATTTGGCAAATGTAATCTCAACTTAAAAGATAATTCGGGGAGTCCTAATAGCCAACATTGATGACTACTACACTGGCTTCATAACCAGTTTTGTGGTGATATGCGGGGACAGATTCTTATGCATTTATCAGAGCATCTTAGCATGCATTAGCACAGCCATAGTTTTTAATGTAATAGAGGTAGAAAGGACAAGGTATGCAAAGCAAATAACTGACAAAAACACAGAAATTGGAAGTCAAATGCTGAAAAGAGGTCTTGTCAGGGATTCAGTATAGGATGAGCTTCAGCAAAAGCTACTAAGAGGAAAAGGGACTGATTGCCCTTGCAGTGCACATTGCTCATGGGACACATCGTTTGAGTAATAAAAGAGGAAGAAGAAAATCCAGCACATCTGTTGACCAGGCATCAAGTAAGGATTTCCTTTTTCTTATTTTTTTTTAAAGTTTGTGAGAGAGAGAGCGAGAGAGGAGCAGAGAGGGAGAATCCCAAGCAGGCTTCACACTGTCAGCACAGAGCCTGATGCAGGGCTCAATCCCATGAATCGTGAGATCACAATGTGAGTTGAAATCAAGAGTCGGTTGCTTAACCGAGTCACCCAGGCACCCCTCAAGTAGGGATTTTCTAACAAGCCTTGTCTTATAATTGTGGCACTACCATGATGTAACAGACCTTGTGTTCTTCCTGTAATAAAAGAACTAAGGAACAAGATTCAGATTGTCGGTTAGATACTGCAGGTGCATAAATAAGGTTTCAGAGACCCATCCCCCAGAGCAGCCCCTGTGCCTCTTGCTTCAGCACCCCCAGCTCTTGTGACACATTTGGATGAAGTGTGCTGGTGGCCCTGTAGGCTGTGTTGCCTCAGCAGAGGGGCTCCTAGACTGGGGGCCATTTCAAATGAACTTAATGTGAATAGAGTTTAGAGTTCATTTGTTTTAGATTTGACCAAAAGTTAATGTGTCGTTTCTGGTAAGGAAAGAAACTCGTATGTGGAGTTGCATGTGGATGGAGCAGAATTTCTCTGAAGTGTTTGTAAGTGGAATTCTAGACATTGTGATATCTACTACCCTGTATAAATTCCCTCTTCCCTGCTCGTGACCTTGGTTTGCAGGCATTGATTTATTGGCTTATTATTAATGACCCTATTGAATTATTAATATAGTGAGTAAGAACTGTAGATTTCATTATCAGTTTAGGGATCTTGTTAGGAAGATTCCAAGGCCCCACCCTTAGAGGTTGCTGGCGAATTAGTCTGGAATAGGGCCCAGGAATCTGCATATTAAGCAATGCCCTTGCCAGGTAAATCTGTTTCAGTAGATCTGAGACCACATTTTGATATCCTCGACTGGAATAGGTCAGTACGGTCACTACTTAAATTGTACTTTTATAGGAAGACTTTAGTAGCACATTATACTTAATTAACACTAATGAATTGCATCCTGGATCTGAAAAGCTGAGTGAATGTGGTTTACATTGGAAACCATGGAGGAATACCAGTGTTGCATGATTCTACATAATAAAAACTAGCTGAAATTCTGTCTAGATCCTGAAAAAGTAAGGCAGTTCCATTTGTGGCTTTTTTTTTTTTTTTTTTTTTTTTTTGAGAGAGTGAGCATCCCAAGCAGGCTCTGTACTGTCAGCATGGAGCGCCATGCGGGGCTTAAACCCACGAACTGCAAGATCATGACCTGAGCCAAAATCTAGTCAGACAACCCAACTGAGCTACCCAGGTTCCCCTGTGGTTTTGTTTTCACAATAAATCTGAAAAAAATACGTTAACAAAATATGTTTGTAAAACAGCTTTGTATTCCTGCATTTTAGGAAGAATATCAATTGTTTTGCATTGAAAGAGCAAAACGTTTTGTGAGGTTTATTCTGAAAAACAGCAGCCCTCCTATCCTATCTGCTCTTCCCCATTTTCCCTGCTTCACAGTATCTCCTTCAGCTGTTGGCTGATAAGTTTGTATTTGCCTCCATATCTCAAATATAAACATGTGCTTGGCTATTTACTGATGTTTCCATTTTAGGCATTATCTTTTGACTTCTTTCTCCCTCTTGCCCACCATGCATGTACTCCCCATCATCCACCTCCCTGATAGAATTCTAGTTCAATCATATTAAGTGTTTGCATTATGACTGGGTATTTAAAAAAAATTTTTTTTTAACGTTTTATTTATTTTTGAGACAGAGACAGAGCATGAATGGGGGAGGGGCAGAGAGAGAGGGAGACACAGAATCAGAAGCAGGCTCCAGGCTCCGAGCCATCAGCCCAGAGCCCAACACAGGGCTCGAACTCACGGACCGCGAGATCGTGACCTGAGTCGAAGTCGGACGCTTAACCGACTGAATCACCCAGGCGCCCTACGACTGGGTATTTAAATCACAGCTGAGCTACATACTGAACTAGGTTACCTTCCTGCAGAACTTTCTTTTCCCTAGAATTAATAATCCTCTTGGATTTTTATTAGTTATTAGCTTAGTTTTCTGTCCACTTGTCACTAATTCAACCCCAGAGTTCTCTAAGTGCATAACACATAGTCTATTTTATCAATTTCTTGACCTGGTCCAATCTGAACTGGTTCTCCCTTGTGCCTAATATATTGCTGTCATTGTGAGCTCTCTCCTGCTGAATCCTGTTTTCTGTGTAACCTCTTCCCCTTGGTTTAATACCCCATTTTGATAGAGTGCTTGCAGTAAAAGGGGTGCATGGGAAGTAGTTTGAAAGAATTGCATGTCTGAAAATGTCTCGTTCTCATACTTGATCAGGTGTGAAGTTCTAGTTTGGAATATATTTTCTTTTAGAATTTTGAAGGCATTATTACTTTTCACCTAGTGTTGCTGTTAGAAGAATCTGAAGCCATTCTGTGTTCTGAGAGTCTTTGTATATGACTCCTTCTCCCTTTTGTAGCCAGGGTTCTGAAATTTCAGTGACAGGCCTTGGCAGAGGTCTGTTTTCATGCACTTGCCAGGCTGTTGTTGAGCCTTTGAGAATGGACTCTTAACCTTCACTCCTGGCATTACTGGGAAACTTTCTTGAATTATTTGTTAATGATTTCCTTTCCTTATTCTTCTGGTTTTTCTTTCTGGAATTCCTGTTCTTCAGGTATTGGATCTGGACCTATCTCTGTTTTTCTTATTTTTTCTGTCCTTACCACCCCCATTTTCTTGTCTTTTGATCTCCCCTAATGGAAGATTTCCAAGTTAATTCTCTGTTCCTTTTTTTTTTTTTTTTAATTAAGACCACATTCCATGGTTGCAATATCTTATCTCTAAGAACTTTAATATACTTTGTTGAAGCTTTCATCGCCCTGCATGATGTTTTCTTCCCCCTTTTATTTTAAAATGTTTTATTTTTTGAGAAATAGAGCAAACAGGGGAGTGGCAGAGAGAGGGGCACAGAGGATCTGAAGCAGGCTCTGCGCTGATAGGATGACAGCAGCAAGCCTGATGTGGGTTCAGATGTGGGGTTCAAATCCACGAACTGCAAGATCATGACCTGAGCTGAAGTCAAGACGCTCAACTCACTGAACCACCCAGGTGCCCCCTTTTTAAAACTTTTTGTCCTCTTTTTGTTTTGCTTTTAGTCTTTCATGTTACAGACTTTCATTAGCTTCCTGGCAATCATTGGTAGTCTGCTTATACTTACAGGTGGGATAGTAAGAAGATGTGCTTGTAAGGTGAGCTGATGGAATTTTTGGTAAATCCCCAGCCAGTGTCCATCTTTAGGACTTTCCTCTTGGGCTCTGGTCAGGTTCCCCGGAGGAAACTTCCAGTCTCTTGTCAGGAGGCTTTACCTTGAACTGCTGACCTTGTGGGAGCTCAGTGAAGGAAGAGGGCTGGGGAGCTTCCGCATTCTAGTATGCCCAGAATTGGCATCCAGGTCAAGACTATTGTCTTCCAGATCTCTGGACAGGCTTCCTAGTCCAGAAATTTACACCCTCTAGAGAAAAAAATTCCAACTTTTTGCCAAGCTTGGGGAGGGACAGTCTCAAGATTGTGTGATGTCTGGATATTTAAGCACATTCTCTCTTAAAAAACATGTATTTTTTTTTTTTTTTTAATATGTTACTCTAAAAGGGGCAACTTGGCAAGAGAAAGAAGATGCAGAACAAAAAATGATGTCAGATAACTAGATCAAGATTTAAGGAATGGATTCTGGTTCTGACTACCTCCACTACCACTTCTTTCCAAGACTCTGGTTTGTTATCTGTGCGAGGGGGAGGGTTTAAGATTCAGTTGGTGCATTGATACTATCTCAGCTTCTGTGTTCACCTGCTGGGTATTCCATAAGCTTAAAAAAATAAACATGCAGTAATTTTTTTTCTGTCTCTGGCCAAATGGAGGTTAGTACCTGGATTTAGTCTTATGCCTGAAAATTAAACAAAACTCAAATACCAAAGGAAAGCAATCCCTAAGAGAGGAAAAAAAGATGGCTTACAGCCTTGTGGGAGTTTCTGGGCACTGGAATAGGGAAGGGGAACTGAAGTGGACCCTGCTACCTGGGTTGAGGAATCTGAGCTAAGAGTTCAGAGAGGTTGAGGCAACTCATGTTCATGAGACAGAACACCAGAGAGAAGAAAGCTGTACAGAGAACCCAGGAGATCTGTAGAAGGGCTCTTTAGAGTACT